CATCCCCTGCAGCGCATCCACGGGCACGTGGTGGAGCCGGGCCCGGAGCGATTCCTCGTCCTGCACCTGGAGGAAGGTTGGTGGGACATCCCTGCGCCGGGGAGGAGCAGAGCGGGGAGGATGCAGGGCTTGGGATGGCGGGCGATGCTGTTTGCTGGCCCTAAGTCAGATTTAAACACGGAATTAGACCTGAGGGGTTGGATTCCCTTTAAAATAAGAGAAAGACATTGTAAGTGCTAAAGCTTCTTTAAAACTGCTGTAAAATTGGTACTTCGCTGTGTCTTTCTGGGTACATTTTTCAGGAAGTTTAGCAGAGATGATGGATTGAGCAACAGGGCACTGTCCCTGCCTCTGCCCCTGCCTGTGACCAACACCCGGGTGTCACATTCTTGGTGGGCTCTGCTCTGCTCTCACGAGTACGAGTGTTTCTCTGCCTCGATGATGTGGGTTTGGACACTGTCCCAACTCTAAGAGAGGGGAGGGTCGGACCTGGCCGGTCCCGCTGTGCCCTGAGCCCCCTCCCGCACCGGGGGCTGTGGAGCTGCTCCTGCAGCTTCAGCCTTAAGGAGAAACCAGGAACACCTTCCCCTGTCCCATCCTGGGCATGAGCCCGGCGCTGGAGGGGGAGCACAACCCGCTGTTTTATCCGTAGCAAGAGAGCCAGGGGTGTTTCCCTCTTCCTGGAATCCCTTCCTCCCCTCCCGAGGTTTGGATTTGCAGCTGAACTCGCCAGTGCCGGGCAGTGGGGAAGTGACCACAATGTCCCTGAGGCACTGGAGAGGAGATTTCCATGGGGATCTGGGGGTGGCAGCCCCTTCTCTCCGGGTGCAGGATCTGCCTCCTGCCACCTCCCCGGGGCCGGGGACTGGGATTTGCCGTGTTTTTCCACCCTGTCCCTCCTGTCCCAGCTCCTCTGGTCCCTGCGTGGGAACGGGGCTCAGCCCTGAAGCCCCTTCCTCACCCCCCGGGGGCCCCGCGGTGCCGGAGGGGGATTCACCCCGTGTCTCCCCCGTTCCAGTGCAGTGGGAAGCGCAGGCGAAGCTGCGGTTCCAGCTGGTTTTCCAGGCGGAGCTGGGCCGGGCGCTGGGGGAGCTGCAGGCGGCCGCGATGCTCTTCTACCTGGGCCGGCCCGAGGGCTCCGGGCGCCCGCAGGAGCTGCTGGTCACGGGCCCGGGGCTGGCCAGGGACCAGGTGGGTCGGGGGGCCGGGCCGGGATGGGATTGGGGCGGGAGTGTCCCGGCCCTGCTGCTCAGCACCTTTGCCATCCCCTCCCAGTTCCTTTGCCACCCCCTGCAGCTCCTTTGCTCCTCACAGCCCCTTTTCTACCCCTCCCAGTCCTGTTGCCGTCCCTTCCCAGTCCATTCACCATCTTCTCCTAGTCCCTCTGTGATCTCCTCCCCCTCAGTCCACCATCCTCTCCCAGTCCCTTTGCCAACCTTTCCCAATCCATTCACAATCCCCTCACAGTTCTTTTGCCACTCCCTCCTAGTCCCTTCACCATCTCCTCCCAGTTCCTTCATGATCCCCTCCCAGTCTATTTGCCGGTCCTTCCCAGTCCCTTTGCCACCCCCTGCAACTCTTTTCCTCCTCACAGTCCCTTTTCCACCCCTCCCAGTCCTGTTGCCATCTCCTCCCAGTCCTGTTGCCACCCCCTCCCGGTCCATTCACCATCCTTTCCCAGACTCTTTGCCCCTCCTCCAGTCCCTTTGGCATCATCTCACAGTCCCTTTGCCAACACTTCCCATCCCTTTGCCATCCCATCCCGGCATTCCCGCCCCGTCTCTCGCTCCCGCCGCCCGGGCCGTGCCTGCAGATGGAGCTCTTACCCCGTTCCCAGCTCCCGCAGGGCCGGAGGGGCTGCCCGGGGTGTCCAGCCCTGTCTGGGGGTCGCGGTCCCCGCCTGCCCCGGGGCTCTCTGCCCACCCGGGGGTCCCGTGGGCTCCCGGAGCAGCTCTGGGTGTGGGGGCGAAGCCCCCGTCCCATGTCGCTGCTCCCGGGGCCACCGCGGGCTGGGTGACCCCGAGCCCGCAGGGACCACACGTGGGTGTGTGCCCGTGATGTCTGACCCACGTCCCCGGCTCTGCCGTGTCTCCCGCCCCCGCGCAGAGGCTCTGCCTGTCCCGGGACACCCAGTACCTGGTCCTGGGAGCCGCCGCCGGCTCCGTCACCCGCGGCCCGGAGCAGCTCCGCTTCTCGGCATCGCTGACGATCCGCGGCGCCGAGGGAGGTACGGACGGGGACCCGCCCGAGCGTCCCCACTCGGGCGTTTGGGGTCCTCTCCACCCCCGAGGGGCTGTGGGGACAGCAGCAGACCCCAGATCATCGTCCTCACCGCTCCTCGCCCCCCCAGGTGCCCCCCTGCCCCCCTCGGAGGTGCAGCAGCTCCTGTTCGGCTCCGATGACAAGTGTTTCACCCGCATGACCCCGGTGCTGCTGCTGCTGGCCAAGGCACGGCCGGGGGAGGGGGAGGAGGCTTTGGCCCCTTCCTCCTACCTCTCTGCTGACGGGGTGGTGGACACGGCTCCGTACCCACAGCTCAGGTCCGTGGCCTTAGGAATGGGAAAACACGGGGACTGGCAGACAGGGGATGTGGGACCACGGCAGGAGGATGTGGAGACCTCCAGGGCACACGAGGACCCCGTGACCCTCCCTGTGTTCTCCTTGCAGCCCACCCCAGGCCGGGACCGAGGAGCTGCCGACCCCCACGGCCCCGAGCCAGGCCAACACTTCATCCCCAGCTCCCGGGAGCAGCAGCCAATTCCTGGGAATGCTGACCCGCTTCATCCGGCAGGTCCTGAGCTCCTCCAGCGAGCTGCCCCCGCAGCCCAGCGCCCACCACTGGCTGGACTTCCAGGCGATGGAGACCCTCCCTCACCAGCTGCTCAACCTGTCGGGGGAGGCGGCGCTGGAGCGGCTGGTGCAGTCGGAGGAGCCCTCGRTGCTGCTGTTCCCGCAGGACAGCGGGGCCGTGCTGGAGCAGCTCCTGGGGCACTGGCAGCCCGAGGGCACCGTGCTGGAGCTGCTCACGGGCAAACTGCGGGGGGTCATCCAGGAGCTGGGGGACATCCCGGCTTTCCAGGCCAACACGGCGCTTTTCCAGCACCTCCTGAGCTTCTGCTACTTCCCGCGGGGCGGGGAGGAGGGCGAGGCCCCGGAGCGGGTGCCGGGCTCCAGGAAGCTGCACACGCTGCTGCTGCTGAAGGCGCTGCAGTCGGTGCGGGATCGCTGGCAGGAGCGCAGGAAGGTGCAGCGGCAGCACCGCAGCGCTCGGCCCCCGGCCCACTGCCGCCTCCAGGAGCTCACCATCGACCTGCACGACCGCAAGTTCATCGTCATGCCCACCGTGTACGCGGCCAACAACTGCGAGGGGCCCTGCAGGCTGCCCCTGTCCACCCGCGTGCCCAGCTACTACTCGCACACGGTGCTGCTGCTGGGGATGCAGGAGCGGGGGGCGCCGCTGCAGCGCCCGCCCTGCTGCGTCCCGGTGCGCTACTCCGACCAGCTCATCATCAGCCTCTCGCCGGAGGGGTTGGAGATCCGCAAGTTCCCCAACATGGTGGCAGAGGAGTGTGGGTGTCGGTGAGGCTCCTCCCGGCCCGCCCCCCCCGCAGCTGGAGCTGGTGCTTCCCCTGGAGACGGGAGCTCCCTCGTGTCCTTTCCCCACGGTTTGGCTCGTTCGTGTCTCTCAGGTTTCTCTGGTGTCTCCTTTGCTCCTCACAGTCGCTTTCCCACCGCTCCCAGCGCCGTTGCTATCCCCTCCCAGCCCACTCACCATCTCCTCCCAGCCCCTTCCTGATCCCCTCCCAGCCCCTTTGCCACCCCCTGCAGCTCCTTTGCTCCTCACAGTCCCTCTGCAGCTGGAGCTGCCTGTCCCTGGGGGCTTCTCCACAGCCTGATGTGTCCCCACTGCCGATTTTGGGGATGCCTGTAGGGCTGAGCTGCCGCGGGCTCTGGCCCTGTGGGGAGCTTTGGGCTGTGGGGCTGTGGGGGGAGGGCAAAGCTTGGCAGATCCAGCCAAGACTGCACTTATTTATCACTGCCTTTCTGCTCCTGTAGTGGCTGGGAAGGGCAGGTGTTGCTTCCTCCAAGCCTCGCAGCATCCTCTGGCCATTTCCCAGCCCATCATTAGCCCCCCCTGGCTACAGGACTCCACCTGTGACAGCAGAGCAAGAGGCCAAACCCCCTTGCAGGGACCGTCCCTGTGTGACTGGGGCTGTGGGGACCCACTGGCCATGGCCTGGGGCTCCTGGCCAGGTCACATTCGTGTCACCCTGCCCTGACCCCACTCCCAGAGAGAGGGAGGGAGGGAGTGATCCCGTTACACCTCCTGGGCTCTCACACCATTAATGGGAGCGGGACAAACGGCTGCCAGAGCACCTGCTCCGTGTCCCCGCTGGCATCAGCGCCGGATCATCTTTCCAGCTGAGCCCAGCCCTCAGACAGGGAGCCAAACCCTTGGGAAGCAGCTCCTGAGCTTGTCCTGGCTGCACCTCCCGGTGCTGGGAGCAGTTCTTGGGCTTTGCAGTGTCCCCACAGGGCTGAGCTGGCACCCACTGGCCCTGTCCTGCAGCCCCACAGGGACCCGGGTTACCCCTGAGCCCCTCAGCTCTGGGGGGCACAGAAAACACACACACACAGCCAGGGATAAGGGCTTTTCTTGTTTTTTTTTCTTTTTTTTCCCCATTTCTTTTTAAACATCCAGTTGAACACCTTATTAAAAATGAAAATAGTTTATTTTAACCTCTATTGACTCAGCAAATACCAAAACCTGCCATGGGTTGGGGCTGTGAACGTCTCCTGCAGTGGCTCCAGTGCTGTGTGAGGTTTGCACTTGTGTTTCCTTCCTGAAAGGTGAAGGCAAAGCCTGAAGGGATCCCCAGTGAGGGGCTCCAACCTGGTTCTGTTTCCTGCAAGTTCTGTGCCACCCTCAGCGATGGCACCGAGTGAGGTCGGGGGGGTCTGTCCCCGATGTCCCTCTGGTTCTGTAACCCAGGATATTCTTCTCTCTTGATTTGCTTTAAATAAAACCAGTAACTGAAGAGCTGCACAGTCTGGAGACCAACTCTGTTCCCTGGGGTCAGTGGGACCCCACTGTGCTGCCCTGGGTGGAAATGACCCCGTGGGTGGGAAGGACCTGCAGGGGGTTTGGGTGGGGACGGGGCAGGACACGAAGCCTGAAGAGAAGCTCCTTCCCCGGGTCCTTTCAGGTCACCTTTGGCCATTTGATCCAGGGGGGCCCAAAGTCCCCGGGGAGGCTCGTGCCAGGCTCCTGGGCTGCTCTGCTGCTGCTCAGGGATCCTGGGGTGCTGCCCATGGCCCAGGGATGTCCCTGGAGAACAGGCAGGAGCTGGGGGCAGTGGTGGGTTGGATCCCCCTGGGTGTCCCTGGATCCGGAGCCCCTTGGCCGCCCCGGCCTCAGTCGCGCCTCTTGCCCTCCCTGGCCCTGCCATCCTTGCCCAGAGCTGATTCCCAGGGTTTCCTGCCCTTCTGCTGCTTCCAGTCCCTCTTGGGGCTCTCCCGGCCGCCGTTGGCCCTGCCAGGACGGCCCTTCCCCCCCTCCCTCCTGGGCTCCTCCCGCTCCCGCCGGCCCTCCTTCCTCTCCTTCCTCTCCTTCCTCTCCTTCCTCTCCCGGTCCTGTTTCTTCTGAGGCTGCTGCTCAGGGTCCCTGGGGGTCCTGGGAGCTCTGCCAGGTTTGTTCCCTGGTGTCCTGTCCTTGGCTCGTGCCTCTCTCCGGCTGCTGCGCTCTGCATGGACAGCACGGCCTTCCCGGGCCTTCTTCTCCTCCTTCTTCTCCTTTTTCTTCTTCTCCTCCTCCTCCTCCTCTTCCTCCCTTTCTTCCTCTTCCTCCTTTTCTTCCTCCTCCCCCTTTTCTTCCTCCTCCTCCTTTTCTTCCTCCTCCTCCTCCTTCTCTTCTTTCTCCTCCTTTTCTTCCTCGTCCTCCTCCTGCTTTTCCTTCTCTTCCTCCTTCTCCACCTCCTTCTCCACCTTCTTCTCCTGCTTCTCCTGACTCTTCTTCACCTCTGTTGCAGCCAGTGGCACCTCGGGGACATCTGTGGGTTCTTCATCCTTGTCTTCATACTCACCCTTATCCTCAACTTCATCCTTGTCCTCATCCTTGTCCTCATCCTCTGGAGTTGCGCGGCCAAACCACTTCTTGAAGATCCAGGGTTCTGCCTGCGTGGGGACAGAGGGGACCAGGACGTGGTGATACAGCCCCGGGGCCCGGGACCCTCCTCCATCCCTCCCCCAGGGATAAGGGTCCCTGCTCCCCCTGCAGGAGGTGCCCCGGCCCCGTACCAGGTTGCTGTCGGCTTCGCTGTCATCCTCCTCCTCCTCCTCCTCCTCCTCCTCTCCACCCTCCAACGCGCTGCTCTCCGGTGGGACAGGACGGGCTGTCCCCACCTCTGGGACCTCCTCCTTGGGGCTCAGCACCTCTGGGAGGGGAGAGGGACAGGCCATGGATGTTTGGGTGGGATGTCCCAGGCATGGGCCACCCCGCCCTGGATGTGGCCCCATCTCAGTCTGGATCTGTGGGACTGGGACAACACGGAGCTCTGAACCCACCGGGAAGGGGAGGAGGTGGTGGTGGAGGCTCCTGCCGGCCTCGGGTGATCCCCTCCTTGGAACATGGTGCTGGAAGAGAGGAGGGGAGAGAGGCAGGGGGTGGCAGCAGGGTGTGGCCACCCTGTCCCCCTCCCTGCAGCCCCAGCTCACCTTGGAGCACCTGGAAGGTGACACTGAGCAGGGCCACCACGGAGGCCACCAGGATGCACTTGTTGAGGGTGAGCCCTTCCCAGAGCAGCGGCTCCTCCGAGGGCTCCAGGCTGGGGGGCTCTGCCTTGCTCTGCACCGGGAGGCTCCTGGGCACTGGGGACCCCCCAGGGAAAACAGAGTTAATGGGAGAACTGGGAAGGGACAAAGGGATCTGGGATGGGGGTGGGAAGGAGTCTCGACATCCTCCTGCACAGCCCACCCTGGCAACGATAGGGACAGGGGCAGGGCCAGGGCCAGGGCCAGAGACACAGGCAGGGGCAAGGGAAGGGGCAGGGAAAGGTTAGGGTTAGGGTCAGGATTAGGGTCAGGGTTAGGGTTAGGGTCAGGATTAGGGTCAGGGTTAGGGTTAGGGTTAGGATTAGGGTCAGGATTAGGGTTAGGGAGCTCTCTGCCCTGCTCCTGCCAGGTGTTTGCACTGCAGGAGTGGGGAGAAGAGTGTCCCAGGGGGCTGAGCCTGAGAGGTTTGGGCTACAGTGGCATTAGAATATCCTGGGGATCATGCTGGGAAAACCTCTGCCCGTGTTCCCCCTCCAGCAGAAAATCTGGGCAGGATGGAGAGGAGGAGGAGGAGGAGGAGGAGGGAGATTTGCCAGGTGGCTGAGAAGCCCCATGTCCCTGAGCTGCGAGGGGACCGTGGAGAGCAGAGCTCCTCCCGTGGCCAGACCGGCTGGGAACACGGGATTGCTCCACCTGAGGCCGGGGTGGCCATCCCGGTGAAGGGAATTTCCAGGGAATCTTCCCCACGCACCTACCTGAAGGTGCTGCCTTGGCTCCCACCTTCTCCACCCGCTTCCTCTCCACTGCTTTCCTGTCCCCTCCGAGCGGCGCCGGCTCTGGCATGCTCAGCTCAGCTCAGCTCGGCTCGGCTCAGCTCAGCTCAGCTCAGGTCGGCTCGGCTCGGCTC